TGCACACTGGCAGCTGCACCCTGAAGGACGCGGCTTCCGAGACATCAGGGACGACAGCAGAAAACACCGAACGCTGCGTCAGCAGACAGCATCGCCAAGCAGCGGCTGTAAAGGGCAAGGCGTCAGCCGGGATGCGGGAGATCGGCAGCACGGCCTTCCCGTCCAGATAACGCAAGCTGACGTCGCCCTTGACCTTGTCATTCAGGCTAGGCTGTGACGCGGAAGCAACCGGTAGGTGCGGCAGCGCTGCCGCGCAACACAACCCGAACGGGCATGAAGACCTCAAGGCCATGAAAGCCGTGGGAGAAAAAGTGTTGGGGTGCGTGAATTGGTATTTGACCAGCCCCCGCATCTGGTCACCGTCCTTCAACGCAGTGACAAACCCAGTTTCCTGTCTTGCTGAGCCCCTGCCTAGCCTGATCGGCGAGTGCAGCTGTGAGGTGGCGGAACCAAAAGGATGAGTCACCTAACGATGCCCATTCCGAGGGAAAGGCAATATCCTTCGCCCCAGTGGCCCAAACATCCGCCAGCCAAGCCCCCAATACCCTCAGCAATTCAAGTTCTTGACCGCCTGGCAGCGAAGTCACATCCTTGCTGTCGTGGACCCACGCCATCAACAACTCCTCGGCTTTCGCCGCGAGTACGCCACACCGACTAGCCGCCAGAGTGGCAGCAGAATGACAGCCATTGGCCGGTTGAGCGGCAGCTCAGCGGCATCATGCCAAGTTGCTTTCCCCGACAAGGCAAGGTGAGCCATATGGACTCGCTCCGCCGACTCCATTTCTTCAAGCTGCTGGATGGCCTCATGACCAATTGAAGACAAGTCTCGAAAGGGCGAACTCTGGCCGGTCAAAGTCAGGCTGGACCATCCCAGCAATATGCATTTGGACAGGATCGAGCTCGTACAGGGGACTGTCCGTCCACTCATGGAAAAAGCGGAATTGCTCAACTGGCCACACAGCAATAGGAAGCGCTGCACCGCAAGGATGAAGCCGGATTTCAGCCGCAGGGACCCTCAGTAGGGTGCCAAAATCCACTGAGGGAAGGTCATATCCCGCCCCGCATAGCCCCACAAGAGGGCAGGTGCATCTTGGTCGTCCAGACTGAAACGCTCAGGCAGCATAAGGTGCGGTGCAGGACCTGCGGCGCTGAAGGCCCGAACTGGCATGCAATGGCCAAAGGGACATCAGTCCACAGAGCCGGTCAGCAAAGGCAATCTTGTCCATCCATGACATACGAGGAGTGGACCAAATCCTCGTCAGCGAGCGGCGACAGCAACAAGGAGGCTGTGCGACTGCGCGTAAGGGCAACAGTACTTCTAGCCGCAGCGTCTTCCCCAACAGACATAAAGCCCCGCCTGGTCTGGACAACGATGGCGCCATGGCATGTTGCACCAGCAGTGCGCACACTCGTCTCAACCCTGACGAAGCTGCTGGCCGCCCCAGCGCGTTGCAACACGGAGGCGCGGTCGTCCACCTGCTCCCGCAAGGTAGCAGGTACTGTTTCACCTTTCGCCCCCCCCGAACAGCTCCGTGATTGTTCGGCATTCGTCTACGCGGTTCGTCGCGATGAGCATGCGTCCCATAGGATCGGACGAGACGCCCAGCGTCTCGGCCCAAACTCAGCCACCTCAATGTCCCAACAGATGACCTGAAACCTGTACCTGAAACCTGTAATAGGACTCCGGTCCTCCTCCTTCGGCAGAGCAAAGGGGACATGGTCCTCGAGCCCCAAAACAAGTCTGTACCGTGTAAACGAGACCGGAAAATACACCGATTGTGGGACACGATAAAAGACAGGGAAGCTGAACCAAACACACGGCCAGCTGCCAGGGGTGCATCCAGACCTTGTTCCTCCGAAGGCCCCTTGACCGCTCCAGCATCTTCCGCCTTGCCACCCGAGAGAGTGTTGCAAGATGCAGGAGAGGCGGGACGGGAAGTTGAGAGGTCTCTGGCCAGGGCGCTGTCGGTCCTCTTCTCAACTGTGCCGCTCCATGTCGTTCTCTTCTTTCTGGAGTACGCTGTCCCTCAGATCGCAGTGTTGGGAGAAGAGGAAAGTCAGTTCGTTCGTAGCCGAGGTGCTGCCAAGGACCCTGCGGACCGACACGGTTGTCAGGCGCAAGCCGGATTCTGCCCGACGCCGGGACAGGACGGTGGTTGGTGGGCGTCGCCAAGGCTTGGGAGAGGCAGAGAGGGAGTACCGCCAGCGTGTGCGGAGGCTTGTTGGCTATCATTTGCCCCCTCAATTTGCAGAAGTCCTTACTGGCCAACCGGAACCTGTCGCAGGCATTCTGCAAACCCCGACTTCCGCATTGAACCGCGTTGTCCTTCTTGATGACTGTGTTGAAGGACTGGTCTTGCAGGGCATCCGTGTGCTCGATCAAAACCCGCGGGAGAGTCCCTGATGTCCATTGCGGCGCCGGCCATCCCTGCATGTCTTGGCCTCGGCAGCCCTGATGCAGAGGTTTTTCCTGCTGACTGTCGCCCTGGTGCACGGTTGCTTGCCGGCTTATTCGCGATCTGCCTAGGGCGGAGGTCATTGGTGGTGAGTACAGTGGCCTCTGGTTCGCTATTCGTGGCACTTCTTGATGTCCCTTGTCGTTGTCCATACCGGACGCACTGACGTCTTCCTCTCCGGAGTTTTTGGTGCTGGCAAAACAGCCAGCCTGGCGCTTGTGGTCGGATACTTGGCGGCTTTTTCAGACGTGCGCATCCTGCTGACCTCCAAGGAGAATGCCGCCGTGCGAGCCGTGGCTGTGTTTTTCCTTCCGGTGGCGCGCCCTGCTTGCTAGTGTACTGCTCGCTGTTGCGTTGACGGTGAGTTCAAGCGCAAGGACCAGGCAGACACGGCGTTGGATTTTGCCGCCAGATGCTAGGGGCAGCGATCGGTGGAACAAACGCATTCTCTTGCGCGCAACTGGTGTTCTGCTCAATGAAACGAGATTTGCGCGAGATGGTCAATCCCCGGTGTTCCAGGCAGACCTGGTGGTACGGTGCGATTTCGGAGGTGGTGCCCATGGCCGTGCTCCCTTGCCAACGCATCAAGGGTTGGGCCGGTGACACGATGCAAACTCTGGGAGGGATGTTCTCCAACACCCTCCCCCGCCAGCCGCCGCCCTCATCGATGGCCGACTTGTCACCCTGCGACCAGACTGAGAAAGCTGCCTCGACCCGCCGAAACCATCCGCTATCAGCCTCATCACACACAAGTCCACACCATCCAAGGGCATAGCGCAAGGACTCAAACCGGTACCGCGCTGGGACAGCTTCCAAGTATTGACACTCAAGATCCTGAAAGGTGGATCGACCATGAAGCAGATGTGGAAGGAAAACCAGATGACCGTATCAGCGGCGGACCTGCCGGTCTGTGCCTTCCCCGGCAAGCAAGAGCACATAGATCTGATGCTCAGCGAGCTCCTCCAAGTCCCATGTCGGATTCCAGAAACAGAGTGAGTCGGCGTCTGCATGGACTGCCCGAAAGGGTCGGGAAACATCCATCATCACCTGGAGGCATTCCGTGGTGCACTTACTCAGAACGGTCGGAGGCATAGCCACTGCTCCCACCACGGTTGCACCAGCCACATGCAATCGTCGAGCAAGAAGGTGCAACCAGGCAGCCGAAAAACTTCCCGCCGAGAAACCACGAAGGGTCACCACGCGAGTAAGCGAAACGGTACCGTCAGGAACCGTCGGCAGCCCAGCGATCAGCGCAAGGTCAGGCACCGGCGCACCCTGTGTGCGCGGCAGGAGCAACAACGCGGCCACGGTCCACCATGTCCGCGGCAGAAAGTGTGCTGGCAGCGGAGAGGCACCCCAAGCGTATACCCGAAGGACTTCCACCGTCGGTCCACCCCGCGAACTCGTCGCCAAAGTGGAAAGGTAGGAGAGTCACTGATGGCCCGCATGAGTCGCAGGGTCGCTTTGAGTGGTCTCCTGTCGCTCATGATCCGATTGAGATCTGCAGCGGTTTAGGGGGCAATTCACTTGGTGGAGACGCGCATGGTACACCGGCTGACATTGTTGTCCGCACTGGAGCTGCACAGGGACGTCAACCACATGGACCCGGGGAAGGAAAGGTAGACATTATCACAGGTGGGCCTCGCCCTTGTCGCGGTACATTAGATCGATTTTTCGCGTTTAACGCTCTTGTTCCGGTCGTGATCCGTCAGTTTACGTTCGTGATCCGTCAGTTTCGGTCGTGATCCGTCAGTTTACGGTCGCGATCCGTCAGTCGGCCGTGATCCGTCAGTGTCTGTCGTTATCCGTCAGTTTACGGTCGTGATCCGTCAGTTTCGGTCGTGATCCGTCAGCTTTAAGGTCGTGATCCGTCCGTCGTCGTCAGTTTACGGTCGTGATCCGTCAGCTTCCGTCCGTTTTCGTCTGTTTGCGGTCGTGATCTGTCAGCTTCTGTCCGTTTTCGTCAGTTTCGTATCATGTCGCTGCAGACATTGCTTTAAGTGTATCAAGCTTCACATGGAAGCGTTTGAGCCCAGCTTGGAGCAACGCTTTTGATGAAAGCTGACGCGCCCTTGAGCAAAAGCTCTTGTTCTTTGGCGTTGGGATGCGCTTGTCGCTTTCCAGTCGGATGGACGATCTATTGGAAGCTTACCAGTTTCAGGGCCAGTGGACAGGCGCACTTATCACGTTGCTTGCCAAGAATGCCACCTGCAAGGCAACGCCGCCTCGCAGCAGTGTGGGTCTGCTCTTCAACAAGCTTCTCTGAGCGCCACGCTCAACAAATAGCATGAAACAATGTGCACAAGTTGCCAATCATTTCCTCCGCACTTCTTCAAATGGTTCGGTACTGCATCTGCGCACTTAGGCACAAGGAGGAACGCCTCGGTGAAACAGCTGTTGACCAGCGCGTCGCTGGTCCTGTACCCGTTGCACGCACATTTCCTGCTCGTCTTGAACACCGCAGCCTGATGTTCCAAAGTGTGAACATTGACCTCCCTTACGCTTCAAGAGTCAAGCAAAAATGCACTGCAACGAAACAACTGCGCCTGCGACTGCACCCTTTGTCACTGCACGAGGTGAAACGTTGTGCCCCAGCATTGCCTCAGCCGAGAATAGCAAGTGACCACAGCTAGCAGTAGCCTGGCAACGATGCAAGTTCACAAGTGTACAGCACTGCTGCGCTGCTGAGGTGCCTCAAACTATGCGGCTCCAGCAGCTCCAGCTGGTAGCATGAATCCGTAGCAGTCTGCCCTGACAGCTGGGCGACGGCACAACCCAAAGTTGAAAGGCATCGAATCCAAGTGCAGGGCTTGGATCTGCCGCACTTGACTGCTGCTTCTTCATCTTCTCTGACCCAGCGGCCATCCTGCAAAGTCCAGCTGAGAGACGGCAAGGGGTGAGAGAATGCAACAAATGGGTTTGTGTTGTTGACACGCAAAGCTCTCCTTCTGGCTGTAAATGTCAATCTTGGATGATTGGAACGGAGAGAAGGAAGGGTCGATTGCCTACAGTGATGTCAGTGAGGTCAAGGTGGCGCAGAAAGCTCAAGACTAGCAAGGCAAGCTCTAGGCGCAGGGCCTTCTTCAAGTCATCCACCTGACATCCCCGCGAAGCGTCAAGCAGCATTTCCGAAGGCAAAACAAAGCTGAAGGAGATCCTTCACAAAGTGGCGCAGCTGAGGTCGCTGCGTTTGTCAAACCACCTTTGACCTGAAACGCGTTGCCGACGATCTCAAAGTCCTTGCCATCCTCGCAATGCACAAGCACTGCAATCCAGTTCGCATCCATCCGCTTAGCCAGTGGCTCCGCGATTTTCACAAACGCGGTGGATTTTGGAGGTGGGGGCTTTGGACATGCTTCTTTCCTGCGCGTCACTAAAGGGAATGGACATTGAATAAAGAAAGGGCATGGCAGCAAAACATACAAAGTACTTCATGTGGAGGTTCGGCAAGTGTTCAAACAAGATCCGAACAAAATCATCCGCTTGTCTTTGAGAATGAATTGCTTTCAACATGGACATGAATGCACTGCATACGTCAAAGAACTGGCAGTCCTTGCTTGGCTGGAGCTGACGGACCCAAACAGCTGGAGGTGCTGAAGCAGCGCCTTGAAGGGTGAAGGGCTCAGAAAATGCGAGTGTCCTCTTCAAGTCTTCGTTGAACAGACTCAGGCCTGAGAGCAACTCTGCCAACTCTGCTCACACATGCCAGGAGTGGACCAACATGCAAACCCAATGCAACAAACCCAATGCAACAAATCCAACACGCACTTGTCTTTGGCAGCGAAGTTGAACATGGACATGAAGGCTCAGGTTGCCATGGGGCAGCCGTGCCTTTCCGTACAGTCCCATGCCTGCAATGGCTGTAACCGGCTTCTTGCCTGAAAGCAGGAACTCTATGATGTCCGTTGGTTTCCAGCCGCCATCAGGCAGACTTGCACTTTCCAAAGCCTTCGAGATCAGGAGCTCGTCCTCTCTGAACTCGGCTTTGGTTTTCTGTACTGCTTTCTCAAGTTGGGTCTCTACCCGTGTTTGCAGCACTGCGCGCGACCATCTCCACCACCTCGCTTTGCGGGGCTTGCTGGAATTCTTAACCTTCTCTGTTGCATTCAAATACAACAGGAGTTGGCGTGCCTGCACCTCATTCCATCTGTACTGGCTCACATTCTCCTGCTGCGGGGCTAGTCGTGTTCGCGCTCCATTGAGACAGGCTACTTTATTCGCAATTCTTTCAGATTGCGTAACTACGATGACCTGCCCGTATCTGTGCGCTGCACAAGCGAGGTTCATCAACATCTTCCCATCTTCACCCAGTTCGTCGTCAAAGATGTCGTCCAAAATCAGCTGCAAGCGAACTCCAGCGTCAGACAAGATTGGAAAAATGAGTTCTGCAACACGTGGCACAAAGCTTATGTCTGCTACATTGAAGAAATCCTTGAGACGCGCCAAATCCTGCCTGGCCAAAACAGTGATGCACTGTGGGTTGTCTTTGGCCCATCCAAGCATGGCCAAAGCCACAGCAACAGACTTGCCCACGCCAGGTTCAGCATAAACCGCAGTGACTCCGGTCAAGGCCGTGTCCGATAGCACATTGCTCATCAATTGCTGAAACTGCGTGCCATTCACGGGGATGAGTGGCAACAAGACGTTCGGCACAAAGATGTTCCGAGCTTCCCGTCTTTGTTTGGCGTTCTCCACGAGGATGTTTGCAAGGCGTTCTGCGTGTACCTGGGCATTGTTCAGCTGCGCCAAAGATGTCTGCTTTGAAATCGAGCGAAAATTATTGTTTGCCTCCAGAACTCCCTGCCCAATTTCCTTCAGTGATGTCCCAAACACGGTGGCGAGTGGTTCGAGATATTCTGCCGACTTCTGAAGGTTTATTGAAGCCCTTGTGGTTTTGCTTGGATGCTTGTGTCCGCTTGGGGTCGTTCGCGGTATCTCATCCACTGCAAAAAAAGACCTGCCAACCAGAATGGGCAAAGCCAATGCAAGGAGCTTGGAGCCGCGCTTGGCCATGGAGGGACTGCAAGCTGAAATGTTCTGGTGCATGCATGCTGAAGCATATAACAAAATGACTCAAAGTGATGCTTGCGTTGCTGGCATGCAAGTCAAGTTGGATTTGAAAACCTGCTCTGAGAAGCACGGCTGCAACACTAAGCACACAGTGACTGGTTCATACGTGCAAACATCTGCCCGGCGATTCTCGAGAAATCTGCACCGAGTTTGGGGAAATCTGTCACCGATTTGTGGGAAATGTGCCTCGTCTTGTGCTGAAGCCCTCTTTTGGTGTCTTTTTTGGGACGCTGAAGGTCAAATCATGCAAGCCGAAGACCAACAGACAACCAAGTGCAGCAAAACGCAAATCGAACAGCACAGTGTCAAGTTCGAATGAAGTAGCAGGAGCAGGAGCAGTTACAAACGCAAAAAGATGCATGAACGATGGCAGGGTGGCATGAGCGAGAATCAAGGACCTATGTTGCAACAACTACCAACATTCAGGCAGACCGAGATCATAGTCAGCTCCATTTCTCAAGGTGAAATGCGTGTTCGCATTGCGCAACATCTCTAAGTATGTGCACCACTTCATGTCCAACCGATACGGCTTGGTTTTCTTTGTTCTGTCCAACTGACGCTCTCGTATGCTGACGTTTACACCGCTATTCGACCAATTCAGCAGTTGTTGAAAATATGGCTCCCCTTCCTCCGGATGCCAGCCATGTTGCCTCCCACGCCTCCTGCACATGCGCTCCACGCGCCAGCGTGGTTTTTTCTGATCGCCCCTGGTGGCCTTTTTTGCGCGCCTTGCTGCTCCCAAGCAGCACACGCAGGGCTACCCACCAAGGATGCAGAGGTCCTACTCCCTGGTGTGGCAGGGGGGAATGTATCCGTCAGTTAAGGCATGTTGCACTGCTCCTAGCTTGAACCCAAACGTGAACCCCCAAAAGAACAAAGCAAGTCCGAAGCGGCCGCAGCTCTTTTTACCGGGATTGCTGAAAGTAGCACTGCTTCCAGGGCACTGGTGCGCCTGGAACAGGAGGTGCGTTGACCCCCCGTTGACCCCCCGTGAAACTAAAACGGGCAAGACAATGCGTGTCCTTGCAAGTGAATGCAGTGCTTGCAGGGCGTGGCATGCGTGCCCGCGCCCAAGGTCCGGAGACTGAATGGTCCGGAGACCAGAGTTGGTCCGGAGACCTGGTCCGGAGACCAAGAGGTCCGGAGACCACCAACGAAAGTGCAGAGCGTCTGCGACCTATACTTGCAGAGCCTTGTATAAGGCAGTGCAGGGTGGGTGGGTGGGTTTCAAATGAAACCGCAGGTTTGGGTCAAGGCTAGGAGCAAAACGGCCACCGCGTAGTTCGATTCACAACATGCCCTAAACACAAGGGAAAAGAAACCCTAAGCGTTAAGGCATGTTGCACTGCTCCTAGCTTGAACCCAAACATGAACCCCCAAAAGAACAAAGCAAGTCCGAAGCGGCCGCAGTTCTTTTTACCGGGATTGCTGAAAGTAGCACTGCTTCCAGGGCACTGGTGCGCCTGGAACAGGAGGTGCGTTGACCCCCCCTTCAGTGTTTCAGGCAACCCCGGTATAAGCGAGCCAGCTGGGCCGCCGGCCTCATCACCCGCCCTTCAGAGTGGGGTTGTACCTGGCAGGGCAAATTTCCACGTGACAATGCACGCTTGCGGCTGTGAGCAGCCTGTTGCTCAGGGTCTGCACTTTTTTCGGTCAGAGCGGCTTGATGTAAGCGGCTGGCTGACGCAGCCAGTTGTTCTGGCTGACAGGGCGAAGACGGCCATTTGGTCGCAATGCATGTTGGGATGCAAATAAGGCTGGCTAAGCAGTGCTGGAGGCAGCTGCCACTGTTCCGGGTGCCAGGGCGCATCCATCGGACACAGCTGAATGCCTCGGCCTGACATTGCTAGGCCCGCAGGGCTGAAGCGTATGCGACTTTCAGGGCGATGGCTGAATCGGGCCAACCGACCTCTGCTGAGATCGTCTGCCCAATCATTGCACCTTCCTGGAACGTGCGTCGGCTGCAGCAGCACATTGTGAGCGTGAGCCCAGAAGGCTGTTAACTGCACGAAAAGTTGCAACGGCCAGGAGGTCGTGAACAACTTGTTAAGGCTTGCTTCCGTTGCGGAATTGTCCGTGCCTGAAGGCATGCTGAACGAGTAGTGCCCACCACCAATGTGGCTGTGGGTTGCTTGCAGTAGTGCTAACTGTGCCAGCGTCTCGAAACATGCGATGTACCGCTGTCCAGGCTTGACAAGGCAAGGCCATACGGCCCGTATGTCCCGCATGTTCCAGGTTTCGGCAAACCAAACCAGTTGGGAGGATGTGATTGCCCAGCCCCCTATCCCTACCAAGTCGTCTTCGGCACACGCATCCGCGGCAGCCAGCGCTTGCAGCTGGTGTGGCCGCGCCAAGGGCTGAACGGGCGAGCGCTGAAAGCACAACGCCAGCCATGTAAGGCATTGCTGGCTTGACTTGGAAAGGCTAGTATATGGGTTATTGGGGTCCGCGACGCGCACCCACGTGGGCTTGCTAGTGCCGGGCACCCGCGGGATGTCCTGAGGGCAGTGCGCGGTGCGACCTGAAATTTCCAAGATTTTGGAGCCCACTGTGATCCACAAGCCGGGAAGGCTATGGCTGGTTTTGAGATCCTTGTTCAAGGATGCTCTGAAGGCTGACCACATTTGAGGCGGTATCGAGTGCATCGAGCCTGGTGGGCTGTTGAGGTCCGAGTATAGTGGCGCTAGCCAGGATCTCAGATGCAGCGCAATGCTGGTGGCCCAAATGAGCAGGCCTATGCACTGCTCGAGTGTTTTGCGGAGTACCCGTCGGCTCCCCAGCAGTGCTTTGATCAAGGCGTCCAGCTTGGTCAGCTTAGCGGACCTCCCAGCCGCACCAAACAAGGCTGTCCTGCAATTGAAATTGGTGCAAAGAGTGGCTGCAGGCGGCAAAAGAAATTGTACACATGCCAAGTCGACCCTCGTGTCCACACTGGATGTGGCCAAGTGTTGATGACCGTCTTTGAGACAAGCATATGAGCATATGACTACTGGCAGGATCAACCAGGGAAAGTTTGTAGTTTGTGGGTTTAAAGAAAACATTGGACATTATGGCAATGATGTTGTTTTCTCCTTTTACGACGCACAAAAGTTGCACATGGTAGATTTCTCAGGGATTCAAAGTACACTTGACATTGTCGTCAAGCGGCGTCAGTCAGCTTCCAATTTCTCACACCATTCCCCCCAAAAGAAGAAGACGACAACGTCACACACAACTCCAAAGCTGACTCGCCCACCCGCCCAAAAGAAGACGACAACATCACACACAACTCCAAAGCGACTCCCCCTTCCTGGCAGAGCACACTTCCCGGCAGAGCCTCTTCCTGGCACAGCCCATTTGCTGGCAGAGCACACTTCCTGACAGAATTCATTCCTGGCAGAATTCCTTCCTGGCAGAGCCCGCTTCCTGACAGAATTCCTTCTTTACAGACTTCCTTCCTGACAGATTTCCTTCCTTGCAGAATTCCTTCCTGGCAGAGCCCGCCTCCTGACAGAATTCCTTCCTGGCAGAATTCCTTCCTGGCAGACCCCCTTTCTTGACAGAGCACACTTCCTGACAGAGCACACTGTGTCAAACGAGGTTGGGCAAGCCAGTGTCAAACGGAAGAAGCTGACTCATCCCCTTCACCCCCGAAGCTGTCATTTATTTCTCTAGTCGTGTGTCTTCACTAATAGAGAATATTTGACTTGCGCCCGAAGCTGACTCATCCCCTTCACCCCCGAAGCTGACTCATCTATTTCTCTAGCGGTGTGTCTTCACTAACGGAGAATATTTGACTTCGCACCCGAAGCTGACTCGCCTCCATCCCCTTCGCCCCCCGGAAGCTGACTCGCCTCCATTCCCCGCAGAAGACCACATCACCCACCCCGGAAGCTGACTCGCCTCCATTCCCCGCAGAAGACGACAACACACAACCCGGAAGCTGACTCGCCTCCATTCCCCGCAGAAGACGACATCACACAACCCGGAAGCTAACTCGCCTCCATTCCCCGCAGAAGACCACATCACACAACCCGGAAGCTGACTCGCCTCCATTCCCCGCAGAAGACGACAACACACACCCCGGAAGCTGACTCGCCTCCATTCCCCGCAGAAGACCACATCACACAACCCGGAAGCTGACTCGCCTCCATTCCCCGCAGAAGACGACAACACACACCCCGCAACCTGACCCGCCTCCATTCCCCGCAGAAGACCACATCACACAACCCGGAAGCTGACTCGCCTCCATTCCCCGCAGAAGACGACAACACACACCCCGGAAGCTGACTCGCCTCCATTCCCCGCAGAAGACCACATCACACAACCCGGAAGCTGACTCGCCCCCATCCCCCCTTCGCCCCCCCGGAAGCTGACTCGCCTCCATTCCCCGCATCACCCAGCCCGGAAGCTGACTCGCCCCCATTCCCTTCCTGGCAGAGCACGCTTCTTTGCAGAGCACGCTTCTTTGCAGAGCCCCTTTCCTGACCGAGCACACTTCCTGGCACTGCCCCGTCACTTTCGTGCTACAAAAAAACCGACGACGTTCTCAGCCGCGCGTTCTGAGGCTCAAACTTTAAAAGGCTGTGACAGAAAGCGAGCAACGCAAGCCGACCTTCATTTCGCCATGGCGAAACAATACAAGTCGCCTCTCTTGCGCAGACTCACGAATTTGCGAACCGAAGTGGCCACCGATCGGACGCGCTGCAACTACGGTTTCGGGCGCGAGCTCACGGGCGAGGAGCTTTCTCAGAGGAAGACGGAAATCGCGAGGCTGGAACGGTGGACTGGGGGGCGGGTGAAAAAAACGTCTGTTCGGCGTTTGACGCCTGCCCGGCATGCTCGGCACTCCTAGCCTTCCTACACGCCTGCTTGGAGATCGCCAGACCAGAATCGCGCTTCGCCACGCACGACAGCCTGACAGGGAATGAAAAAAACTTCGGGGTTTGGGGGGTACCTTCGACGTGCTGGAGGGCGTGGTGGCCACAG